TCCTTTGACAGACAAAATTTCGCGCTAACGACTTTCATTTTCCTGGCCTGCCATTTATTCTTTGGGAGCTCCCCTGTCATGATGTAGTGCTTTATTGGCTCCCTCCAGTCAGCCCCCCAGTCTTTAGCCGGAATTTGGTCAACCTTGTGAAATACTCGTGGCTCTGGCTCGGGATGTTCGTTTGGTTCGAGAGCACCCTCCTCGATTAACGATTCGGTTTCTAATACTGTTTCTGAACTCACATCTTCAGCTAAGACAAAGGGTTCCTTGTTAGACGTATTTGATCCTCTTGATTTCCTCCGTTTGTTGGGTGGTGGTTCGATCTCTGGTTCGCCACGGTCGTGTGCCGCCGCTCGAGATCTTGTAATGACGAGAGTTTCTTTGTTGTCTTGAATGCTTCGCTCCGAAATGCATTCCACTGGAATAACTCTTTTCAACTCAGGATCTGATGTTGACGCCAATGCGGCGAGCGCGTCCGCAGTTGTATTCTCTCCTCGAGGTATGCGGATTAATTCAAATTTCGAGAAATTTTTAGATAAATCCTTTACCACTTCGAGGTACGCTTCCATTCTCGAATCTTTGGTTTCATAGTCTCCATTAAATTGGTTAACTACTAATTGCGAATCGCAATAAGCCAATATTTCCTTAGCTCCAACTCCTTGTGCTAATCGAAGTCCGGCAATCAGGGCTTCGTATTCTGCCTCGTTGTTGGAGGCATTGAATAGCAACCGGAATGATTGTTCTAGAATTTCTGACGTTGGAGACTCCAACTTGATTCCCACTCCGGATCCTTGTTTTGTTGAAGACCCATCTACGTGTAATTTCCAAGTTTGGTTCTCCGGTTGCTCTATCGTTCCAGGTATTGGTAGTTTGGTCAGGAAATCTGCTAAGACCTGAGCCTTCATACTGATCCGGCTTTTAAACTCTATGTCGTACTCGCTTAATTCCACCGCCCATTTCGCCAATCGTCCGGACTGGCTTGGACTATGAAGTATTGTTCGGAGTGGCTGGTTGGTTAATACCTCAACCGGATGGGATTGAAAGTACGGGCGTAGCTTTCGAGCCGATATCACCACTGCGAGTGCGAGTTTTTCCATCATTGTGTATCTGGTTTCCGGATCCGTCATTGACTTGCTCACGTAGTAAATTGGCTTCTGCTCTCCACGGTCTTCCCGAACCAAGACTCCACTAACCGCGTGGTTTGAAACTGATACGTACAAATAAAGTTTTTCGTCCACTTCCGGTTTGGACAGTATAGGCGGAGTGGTTAAGTATGCCTTAAGCTGCCCAAAAGCTTCTTCACACTTCTCATCCCAAAGGAATCCTTTGTTCCCTTTTAGAATTTGGTAGAAAGGCAACGACTTATCTGTTGACCTCGAGATAAAATGATTCAAAGACGCAATCCGCCCAGTCAACCGTTGTACTTCTTTGAAGTTTCTTGGAGATGGCATGTTTAGAAAGGCGTTAATTTGATTTGGATTGGCTTCAATCCCTCTTTCTGTCACGATATAGCCAAGAAATTCTCCGGATGGGACTCCAAATGTGCACTTCGCCGGGTTCAGCTTCATTTGATATTTATTGAGAATATCGAAACATTCCTTCAAATGTTTAACATGATCTTCTTTCTTCAACGACTTAACCAACATATCATCTATGTAGACTTCCATAGTCTTCCCGAGGTGATTGTGAAACATTTTGTTCACCAACCGTTGGTAAGTTGCTCCTGCATTTTTCAAACCAAAAGGCATTACCTTGTAACAGTAGATACCTCTATCTGTGATAAATGACGTCTTTTCTTGATCTTCGGGGTTCATCATTATCTGATTATAACCCGAGAAGGCGTCCATGAACGTTAACAGCTCATTTCCAGCGGTGGACTCTACAAGTCGATCTATATGCGGGAGCGGGAAACTATCTTTGGGACATGCTTTATTCAAGTCTGTAAAATCGATGCAAACCCTATCTTTCCCATTCTTTTTCTTGACAACGACAGTGTTTGCTACCCATTCCGGATATTGCACTTCTCGTATGGACCCTATTTTCAAAAGTTTATCCACTTCATCATTTACTATTTTTGCCCGCTCCACTCCAAGCTTTCTTCTTTTTTGTTTCACCGGTTTGAAGCTTGGATCCACGGTTAGTTCATGACAAATTACACTCGGATTTATGCCAGGCATGTCCGCTGCTGACCATGCAAATGATGCTTTGTTTTTCCTTAAGAGTTCGATCAAAGCTTCTTTTATTTGGCCAGTCAAAGTTGCTCCAATTCGAATTTTCCGATCTGGTTTGTCTTCTTCCAATACCACTTCGACTACCACATCCTCTTTTTCCTGCCCACTAGGAAATTTCTGCCTTAGTCCTTCTTTTGCGGGCTTTGTTAATTGCTATTGGATCTTCAAACGGTGGCTAGCTAAGTAACACGTCCGTGAAGCTTCTTGATCTCCCCGAATTGTTTCCACCCCATTTGATGTTGGAAATTTGATACATTGATGATATGTAGAGGGGACTGCTTTCATTCGATAAATCCAGGGAGTCCCGAGGATAATGTTGTAAGCTGCGGGCTTATCAAAGACAACGAAGTCCACGATCTTCGATACCTTCTTGGCAAGGACCGGTAGCTTGATTGTTCCGAGAGACATGGCTGACTCGCTTGTGAACGCAACTAACGGAGATGGGGGTCCTACTATGTCTCCTCGGCTGATTCCCATTTTTTCTAGAGTACTTAAAAAGATCAAGTCGACCGAACTGCCTGTATCTATAAGGATCCTTGATACTTCGAAGTTAGCGACATCAAGAGTAATGACTAGAGCATCATCATGCGGTCTTTCGAGATGCCGCGTTTCTTCTTCGTTAAATGATATTGAGGCACCTTGAAAATCAATTTCTTCGCTCAAGCTTGCTTTGAGTAAGACATTTCGTCTATGCTTTTTGATGGAACTTATTGAATCTCCGCAAAATCTGGAACCTCCTAGAATCACATTGAACTTACCCTTCGATCTTCTTGGTTCTTCCTCGTTGGATAACTTTGGTCTTTTGGAATCTTGATCTTTGGAGTTTTCCTTTGCTTCGTGGTATTCCTTCACAAAATCTTTTATATCGAATTTAGAAAGATCGCCGCTAGCCCAAAGCTCTGCGAGGTGCTTTTTAAGAACGCTGCAATCCTTGGTTAAATGTCCGGTTACTTTATGAATGTCGCAATATAGACTTTCATCACGGACCCAAGTGTTTGATCTTCCTTTCCCTTGGAATTGCTTCCCGACGGTATTGTTGAAGGGTTGCAACCCAAACTTCTTTGGTCCCTTGCTCTCCCTAGGCTCGAACTTCCTGGTAGGGACGGTGATTGCCGACTTTTCTTGTTTATTCCTTTTGGCAAAACTTTCTTTTTCGTCCTCTACCTCCATCCAGTTGTTCGCGCGGAAGAGTGCATCCTGAATTGTGTCTGGTTTATGAAGTATTAAGTCTTCTTTAAACCTTGAATCATGTCGCAATCCTTTTCGTAAGGCAGATAAAGCTGATTGCTGTGAGATTCTTGGGAGTTTTGACAGCACTCCTTTGAATTTGGTGATGAAAACTCGAAGTGATTCATTAGATCCTTGCGTTAAGTTCCAAAGATCGGCATCCGAAACGCTTTTATCCATAAGGATGGAGTATTGCTTTAAGAATACGGCTGATAGTTCGTCGAAATTGCTGATCGAACCCGGCTCTAATTGGGTGAACCACATTAGAGCTTGGCCACATAGATTCTCTGAAAACAGCTTGCAATAGCCTGCGTCCTCATCAGCTTCATCCAATTCGACTCTTCCTGCAGCGATCAGAAAAGCTGCGAGATAGCTTTTTGGATCCTCCAATCCGCTGTAAGGGTCCAATTTGAGTTTTCGGGAATCTTTGATCCTCAAACTCGCAATTCGCGAGATGAAAGGTGTTCGCCTAGCTTCTTCAATGACTCGATTGATATCTGGCTCTGAACTTGTAGCTTGATGAAATTTTGATTTCATTTCTTTTAATTCCTGGCTAACCTTCCTCATGGTCTCGAACTGGTCGAGGTTCTCCTGCTCATACTGAGCTGCAAGTTGTTCTTCATCCCCGAGCTGCGTCTCTTCCTCCAACGTCTGAGCTACATTATTAGTAGCACCGGGGGTTGTTTGTCCGCTGGTTTCATTTCGTGCAGCGGAACTTGGCGAGTTGAATATCCCTCTTCGGATTCCCACCGGGTTTCCTGCACTTAAAGAGCGAACACGAGTTTGTATAGTATTGACGTTTTGACTAAGAGATACCTGGGATGTTTGCAACGTATCGACGGCCTTTTCCACATCCGAGAACTTTTGTGATATGTCCGACATGGTTTGCTGCATAGCTTTGAGGGTTTCGGCCAATGATGTCTCAGCGGCGTCTCCTCCGGACATTGTTGCTTATCTTGGAAGTGTGATAAAGAAAAAATCTGACCACTCAAGAACCTAATCTCCCCACAGGCGGCGCCAAAATGTGGAAGTCGGATTCACACACTCAAGTATTTTATTAAGTGGGAAAGATTATTCTTGAGGGACAAAAATGGATGTATAAAAACTTGTGAATTGCTACGAAAATTGCTATAATATTTCTCTCTTTAGAGGAAAGATCTTTTCTTACATGGCCATTGGCCTCTATATTTATACATAGAGAAACGACATTAAAATGAGTAATTAAGCACAATTATTCCTTCTTAAATGTGTCCGTTTTGATTCTTTGACTTTAATGCTCAACGTTTGAATTTTGAGTTGACTCTGATCTTCATGGGCCTTGCCTTTTTGGCCCAAGTGTCCTTGAGCCGGCTTACCCGTGTCTTCTACACCGAACTCGTGTCACAGTGCAGTCACTTCGGATTCTCGAGGTAGTGACAACCACTTCGACCGCTCCTTCGGCCTATGGGTCCAATGGGCTTCATCCTTTATGGGCCATTATTTTGACTACGTGGCAATCTTTGGTTGGTCGCGGACTTCTGGTGCGGGATCCGACACCAACACCTATCCCGGTCGGTCGATCCGTCTGTGCGACGGTCTATCCGAATCCGTCTTCTTCTCCGATCCGATCCTTCCGTCCAACGATCGGTCTGTCCGATCCGATCCGTACGACGATCGGTCTATCCGATCTGATCCATCCATCCGACGATCGGTCTGTCCGATCCGATCCGTCCGACGATCGGTCTATCCAATCCGATTTGTCTCCAAGACGATCGGTTGGACCCATCCAATCCGACCCATCCATCCGTCCTCTACATTCCATCGAAGCATTGGATCGGGAGGTAGCATGCGCATTAGTTCGGTCGAGACTCCGAGAATCCATTCCGATTCCGGAGATACTCGCCGAGCCGCACCCCCTTTCCGACCAACACTTCGTAGAGTGTTTTGGGACTTGTTTTGGATTGTTGTGGGCCTTCTGAGATGGTGTGGACGTCCTCCCTTATATAGGGGGCGAATGGTTGCTTTTCCAAAGCATCGCATCCGTTCCATACACTTTTCTGAAGGGTTGCGTCTCTCCGATCGTAACCGTTCGGCCTTATCCACCCTTTCGCCAACGGTAACCATTCGTCGGTAACCGCTCGACCTTACACCTTTTGGCCGAGACACCTCTTCATCCCCGAGCTACGACAGTCCACCAGCTCGAGTGTCAGCTGACCAGACCACCCAGCTGGGTCAGTACTCGATCAGTTCACCGAGCTCGGTTGAGCTGCCGGTCAGCTCACCTAGCTGAGCTAGCTAGTCCTCCAGCTGGTTTAGCTCACCTAGCTGAGCTAGCTTGTTCATTCAGCTTGTCCAGCTCACCTAGCTGGTTTAGCTCGAACGTTCTTTCACGTTCTTTCCGGCTAAGTCTTTCGGTCCGTTTTCTCGGCCTTGACTACGCCATTCCCAACCTTTCCATGATCATTTCTCCATGATCACTAGATTATCCCGAAACCGTCTAAGTCATCTACACTTTTCATGACTTAAACGTTTCTTTCGTTTCTTAGGTTAACTTATTCATTAGTCTTTCTCGACCATGATCTAGTTTTCCCTAAAACAAACCGGCCCCCTTTAGGATCGCGGGACGCGGGTGTTACAAGTCTACCCCCCTTAAAATGAATTCGTCCTCGAATTCGGCGGGTGTTAGAGTTTCGTTAATCCTTAACATTTTCCCATCTTTAGTCTTCCCAAGACTTTAGATTCCATATTTGATCAAATATCTATTTCCGAGTTTGATCAAGTTTCCCCGATCTTGGTCTTTTCCGACACACGATCAAATTTCTAGATCTTGGTCCTTTCTTGGACTCGATCCATTTTTCCGATCTTGGTCCATTTCTCGGACTCGATCCAATGTAACCCGTCCAAGTCTAATTCCGACTAGAACAAATTTCTGACCTTGGTCCAACCCGGACTTGGCCAATATTTCCCAACCTTGGTCCTTTGCGGACACGGTCACTATTCCCAACCTTGGTCCTTTTCGGACACGGTCATTATTCCCGACCTTGGTCCTTTCTGGACTCGGTCTATAATTTCCCGACCTTGGTCTACACCGGACTCGGTCACTTTTCCCGACCTTGGTCCACACCGGACTCGGTCAATAATTTCCCGACCTTGGTCCTATATGGACTCGGTTAATTTTCCCGACCTTGGTCCCCACCGGACTCGGTCACTTTTCCCGACCTTAGTCCCTTACCGGACTCGGTCAATAATTTCCCGACCTTGGTCCACACCGGACTTGGTCATTTTTCCCGACCTTGGTCCTTTACCGAACTCGGTCAATAATTTCCGACCTTGGTCCTTTACCGGACTCGGTCAATAATTTCCGACCTTGGTCATTTACCGGACTCGGTCAATAATTCCCGACCTTGGTCCTTTACCGGACTCGGTCAATAATTCCCGACCTTGGCCCTTTACCGGACTCGGTCAATACCCCTTGATCTTTTCAACGAATAGATCAAGTCTTTCCCGATCTTCGTCAAATTCCGACGAGATCTAATTTCTATTGATCTTGGTCATTCTCCGAATAGATCAATACCTTGTTCCCCGTTATGTTAAGTCATTTGACTACAAGGCTCGTATCTTGGTGCCCGATCATGCCTTGGGTAACCTTTCCTCAAGTACATCAATCTCATTCACCTCAACTTCCTTATCCGCCAAACACTTAGCCTAACTTTTTCAACTTTATGATCAGCCCGTCTCTCCGAATAATTATCCACTTGATACACGTGTAGTTCTTGCCCCTTGGGTAATCATCTTGGCTTAACCAATTCATCTTGGCAAACTCTTTTGGTTTCCAAGCATGTAATCGCGTTCTTGCCTCAATTCCCTTCCGGCTCACCAACACTACTGTTCAAGTTCATAATTCGGTTTCCCGAGGACTCAATCATTTAAGTTACACCTTTAGTAGTCATTTACCATGACATTTTCCCGAGCACTTATCCATCCTAGGATCAAGCATGCTCTGATACCAACTTGTGAGACCCATTCCCGGACGTCTCGGCGTCCGGCGACCATGGTCACACGTTCGTGCCTTTTCCCGGCCGAACCTCCATATTTTTCGCGATTTAACATAGAATTGCCTTTACGAGGCTTACTTCTGTAATCGCTTTCTTAGTACCCAGCGGAAGTCTTTCTATCCTTGGTTTAATTCCAACCAACCCTTGTACCGGTTTGATCATCTTTGTCCCTTAGACTTTAGATCGATCATTAACTCGGCCAAGTCATGCAATTTGTTCGCTAACCATTCTAAGTCTAACGATTGCATATTCTTTGTATCCCTAATCCAACGGCCAATTCCCAAACGTCTATCTTAATTAATAAGTTAGATGCGTTTACACACCTTGGCCTACATGCGGATTTGATTCCTCTTCGATCCGTCTATTGATCCTTCTCTTAGCCCTCTCGTCGCATTATTCCATTCGTACAACGATTCTTAACCAATCGTGTATTGATGGACCAATCTCTATCGTTACTTAGCCATTCATCCAACCAACCCCACTAGTCTAAGTCCCTACGATAGAGATTGGGGATCGTACGTTTTTCTTGGTTCACGGTGGCCAAATCAAGCTCTTGGCTCATTGGTCCATCCGTCCTCCAAACGTACGCCCCTTCGGTTTCATGGTGGACGATCAAGCCCTCGGCTTATCGAACCATCCATGTTTCCGATCCGGTCGTTTATCACTACGACCGCCCACGGTCTACTAACCGTTTTACCCGTACGGTCCATGGTGGTCATAACGCCTTCGGCTTACCGATCCATCCATGCGATCCGAATAATATCATTATCACACCCAAGGGTCCGTGGATTCACCCATCGGATTATCGTAGGCTAGCCCATGAAATCATTCATCCGTCGGCCTTTGGTTTGCTCGCAGGTCCAACATCCGTTTTGTCCACCGGTTCTCACCGTGGACTTTCCCGTTGGTTATCCGTCGAGTCACCATTGGTGTTACCGATTCCTAATCGGTTTCACCATCGGCCATGGCGATTGATACATGAAGGCGGCCGCGATATTAGATCCTTACATGGTGAACCACGTCACTTACCCATTCTCGGTGCTTACTCCCTTTACCGGTGAGATTGCATCCATGGGCGACCCTTGGGTGTGTTCGGTTGCACTTATCCTCGTGCTTCTTCGAACACCTTTCCCTTATACGCCTTCCCGATTAACTTCCCGTTAACCATATCATCTATCGGTCTATCGTTAGATCCGTCGATACTTCCATATTGACAATCTTAGATTTGCCGATCCATTTCCTTTTTGTGTCCTTCCCTCGACGATATGACTTATAGAGCGGACGATCCATCGACCCCATAATCGAGCTATCGATCCGAACCATCAATCAAGTCGTCGAACCCTCCAGCGGTTCTCATCGAATCCTCGATCGAGTAATCCACCATGTTCCCTCGATCAGATCTCCGATACGTATTGTCGGTCATCCCGCCGATCTATACGACCGATCAATCCGCCGATCTAAGCCTTGGTCCGTTTATCCGATCGTAAACAGATCCGGTTATACGTCAACCCGACCTGTTGACACGACGATCGATCTGCCTATCCCGGTCGGTCGATCCGTCTGTGCGACGGTCTATCCGAATCCGTCTTTTTCTCCGATCCGATCCTTCCGTCCAACGATCGGTCTGTCCGATCCGATCCGTACGACGATAGGTCTATCCGATCTGATCCATCCATCCGACGATCGGTCTGTCCGATCCGATCCGTCCGACGATCGGTCTATCCAATCCGATTTGTCTCCAAGACGATCGGTTGGACCCATCCAATCCGACCCATCCATCCGTCCTCTACATTCCATCGAAGCATTGGATCGGGAGGTAGCATGCGCATCAGTTCGGTCGAGACTCCGAGAATCCATTCCGATTCCGGAGATACTCGCCGAGCCGCACCCCCTTTCCGACCAACACTTCGTAGAGTGTTTTGGGACTTGTTTTGGATTGTTGTGGGCCTTCTGAGATGGTGTGGACGTCCTCCCTTATATAGGGGGCGAATGGTTGCTTTTCCAAAGCATCGCATCCGTTCCATACACTTTTCTGAAGGGTTGCGTCTCTCCGATCGTAACCGTTCGGCCTTATCCACCCTTTCGCCAACGGTAACCATTCGTCGGTAACCGCTCGACCTTACACCTTTTGGCCGAGACACCTCTTCATCCCCGAGCTACGACAGTCCACCAGCTCGAGTGTCAGCTGACCAGACCACCCAGCTGGGTCAGTACTCGATCAGTTCACCGAGCTCGGTTGAGCTGCCGGTCAGCTCACCTAGCTGAGCTAGCTAGTCCTCCAGCTGGTTTAGCTCACCTAGCTGAGCTAGCTTGTTCATTCAGCTTGTCCAGCTCACCTAGCTGGTTTAGCTCGAACGTTCTTTCACGTTCTTTCCGGCTAAGTCTTTCGGTCCGTTTTCTCGGCCTTGACTACGCCATTCCCAACCTTTCCATGATCATTTCTCCATGATCACTAGATTATCCCGAAACCGTCTAAGTCATCTACACTTTTCATGACTTAAACGTTTCTTTCGTTTCTTAGGTTAACTTATTCATTAGTCTTTCTCGACCATGATCTAGTTTTCCCTAAAACAAACCGGCCCCCTTTAGGATCGCGGGACGCGGGTGTTACAATATACTCCACCGTCCTCGTTGGTATGAACTTGTTCTCCTGGGATTGCATTAGTATGCAAAATATCATCAAAATCAAAATCAAGAATTTGAGAAACACAAATGAAGTTATGCAAAATCAAAATCTAAAAAACAATTTAGTTTTGTTGAAGTTGTAAAAAATGCTTAGAAAATATATATATATATATATATATATATATATATATATATATATATATATATATAGATTGTATATTAAATACCTATTATATTATACAAATTATTCATTCAAACATCTATAAAGCATATACTCATACTTACAAATCCAAAAATAAAAAAATATTATCAATTTATCTAAAACAGTAATTGGTGTCTATTATCAATTTAAAGCATATACTCGTGTTTACTTTTATTTTTATTCCATGATAATTTATCTCATGTTTCTTATTATTACTTTCTTATTAAACATATTAATACTATTACTCAAATTAGATATACTAAAATATAACTAATTGCACATATGAATTTTACGTACATATATAATTAAAAAAATTATATATAAACTATAAATTAGAAGATTAGATGTAAACTTACCCGAATGTATTTCTTCGATTTCTTCACTAAAATTCTTTTTCAATTTCTTCACTACCTTAATCAGTTAATCTTTTGTGCACTTATAACTTAGAAATGTGAAGAAAATAAATGAATGGCTCTCTCCTTTTATAGGCAAATATTAACGCATCACTCGTGAATCTTGTTTTAATTTTTATTCAATTATATGAGTTGTATACAGAAAAATACAAAACATGTCAGAATATAATTGACTCACTTTTATTGTTTTGTACACAAAAAGAATAAGATTCATTGTTTCAATAAAAATCATTCGATGTGGTGGGGACCATGAGTAAAAGACTCAATAATTCCACGTGAATTCCACAAGAATTTCACAAATGCAAATGACGTAGCATTCAATTTTTTCCACAACAATTCTTAAATAATTAAGCTAGTTTTTGTTACCATTTAAGACTAAAGGTTGTGGTTCCATTAAGAAAATGAAAGTTCAACAAACTAAAATATAAAAACAGATTATCTAGCAAATCATCCCCAAAAATATTGGCAAAAGCGTCTCCATTTGGTCTGGTTTTTCCTACACCGATTATATCGCCTATCTTACACATGTTTCATAGCTTATTTCACATACTCCCTCCGTTTCATAAAGAGTGTCGTTTTAAGGTTTTAATCTCGTTTCACAAAGAATGTCGTTTTGTGTTTTCAATACAGTTTTAAAGACTAATTCTCTTTTTTAACCTCACTATTTTAGTGTATTAATTAAAAAGATGGTATTATTTAGTGTATTAATAAGGGGTAAAAATGAAATTTGTTTACTTTTCTTAATTTGTGTGAAAAATGCTAGAATGACATTCTTTATGAAAAAGAGGGAGTATTATTTTTGTTTGACCAATACCATCTAGCTAAATGATTAGTTGATACAGTATAAAATTAATAATTAATGTACAGTCCCACTTGACTTTTCTCAAATTATGAAGCTGCTCGTTTAATGTTTACGTATATAGTATATACTGTGACTAGTTTAATGTTTTTGTAGTTACAAAATCTTTCTTTTTTGTAATGTTTTTGGTCAAATATACTTACAAAATCTTTTCTTGAAGATCTCAAACTTCGATCTAATCGGTAAGTTATCTTACTCTGGTCTTAGCTTTACATCTTTTCACATTCTTATGTGATATCGAAGTTACAAACGTGAACCTATCTATTTGGACTTAAAAAGTCATCAGTCAATATACCACATGTTTCTTTTTTTTGTTTACCATAGAAAAAAATACTATGCTTAAGTATTCACAAAGATTACGATCTGACAAGAACGATCCCACTTCGTTAAATTCAAAAGATCTTTATGTTTGGTAGATAGTACTTAGCCAATGAATATAACGTATTGGTCAAACTATCAAAGTATAAATCCCAAACATTTTTGTTTTCAAATCAACTGAAATTATTAAGATAGAAACATTGATTATTAACCGAACGATCTATAAAACTTGTAACATGATTTTAACTTGACATTTTTTATTGAGTAATAAAATTATATTTCTCATAGTTTCTGAATTTCTGTCTATTTGAGGGACAGCTAGTCACGCCGCGTCTTCCTCTACACTTTTTCTTCTTCTTTGTCGTTTGTTTTTATATTTCTTTTTGCATGTGTTGAATGGACGCATTCATGCATTTTATTTATTGAATGGAGTTTTCTTTTTCATTTAGTGCGTTACTCTTTACGTTTTGTATGCACTCTTTATCTCACCACTATAGTAAGGCCTCTTTTTTTTTTTGGTAAAAAAAAAAAAAAAAAAAAAGAGTTGCTTTGCCTTGCATTGCCAAAACCTTTTTGAGTGTTAGGCTTCAATGGGAGATGCCAATTTTGGCTGCTTCTAAAAAAAGTTGTCCAGGCTGGATTGCGAGACTTTCGTGAGTCGTGTCGAGCCATGACTCAGGTGCGGGTTTTCGTGACCGATGTCGACATATCTCTTACATTAGTTTTTTTTATTTGATGTTAGTCTTGACGCACCTTTTCCTCTAGCATTAAATTTTGACGATGACAAATTTTACTAAGAACAATAAAGTTTTCGGATCATATTAGTTGCATCATAAATGCTACATTAATTGTCACATTAATGGTTATATGCTAATCACAACTCTTATAATGATTTATTTCTCAACAGTCACTTGTTGTCTTGTTGACAGGTCTAGTTCTCGAACGTTTTTTAGATTCAATGCGAACATAGCCATCAACTTTGATTTGGAATATATGTGACATGAAACCTTTGTTATTTCGGGCCTAGATTATGGCTGTGAATAGTGTACTACATAGAAGAAAAATATATCACGTGGTCCTACCACATTGGAAAAAAAGTTTTTTTGCTATCAAATGAATTTTTATTTTATGAGTAGAAACTTTTCTTCTACGTATTAGTAGAAAGAAGAATTCTTCTCACTTCTTTTCCTCTTCTCTCTCACCAGTCAGACCTTATATTTTTCAGAGTTGAGACTAGTATTTTTCAGATGTCTACATTTTCCACTTATATGGAATTCAACCATTAGTCAATCTCACACTGGTAAAACCTTATATTTTAAAGATTAAATCATAAGAAGATAAAATTAAGTGTGTGCATTTTTTTTATAATAGAGAAAAAAAACAAGAAAATTGATTCAGTAAACCGATAAAGTTGACCAAAATAACGTCTTGTTTTTTTTTTCTAATTTATTTATTTATGTAATTTGTTTTTGTAAAGATAGATACAAAGTCAAGTGAATTAGATTAAAGTTTCAGATGCTTATAAAAAATTTATATACAAAAAATTTGAAAACTATTTCAATACAAACATGTTTTTCATGCACCCTATAATTTATTACCATCTTCTTTGTCCAATAATTGATTTACACTTTTGACGCAAGGAATAAAAAAAAAGTTGAATCTGTAACTTTTTAATCATGTTAAAGATATTTCCGTACCTTCTGAATCTCAACTTTACACGTCTCCTTTTTTGTAGTACTTACTTTGGGATTCTCTTTTCAAGTCCATCATAAAGAACCAAAAAGAAAGAAAATAAAAAGCTATGACGACAAAAAGAAAAAGTATAGTGCATGTTGCAAAAATAGAAGGAGAAATATATATGAAATACTCCTTCACTAATGTACAATCGTCGAATTTTGTTGACTAATTTTAATCTTTGAGACTTGTCACTATTCACTAATGTAGATTTGACTAGTGTTGTCCTTAATTGTCGTATATACAGTTATACACATATGGGATAATATTATTATATATCAGCTAAAGCCGATTAGATTACGACGAAGAGCAAGCAAGGATGGCTGCGATCTCTATTCAACAAACATTTAATGGTCCACTTCGTAGTTGAATGGTAATGAAACCGCCTTGAAAGCTCTGTACTTACCGACATTGTTTAAATGTTCGTTCTCTAACCTGTTTTTACGTACCAACAAACCAAACCAAGATTAGTTTTATTAAATACGATTGAAACGTCTCGAATATAGTAACCTTAAGAAAAAGGAGTAATTTAATGTGTCGTAGTAACCTGAAGAAATTCCATATTCCACGACGAATGATCTCAAGACTTGCCACCACGGCGACCACTGTTTGTGTGTGCATGGACTCGAATTTGAAACCCAAAACAGTTTGCATCCACGCAAATCTCAGCACCACGTTTAAAATCTGCGTTTAGTTTAAGTATCAATTAATTTTCTTGAAACATTTTCTAAAACAGTTTTAAACTAGTTAATTAATGCCTAGGATGTTGTGGTCTAAGCAGAACCAGGCGATATCAAGACTGGGCTAAGCACGGACCATACTAAGCCGGGTGGTCCATCACAAAATCCTACTAATATTAATGTTATAACACTCACCATTGCAATTATGTATACTTCCTTGTGTGGGATGAGAAGATTATCGCGTAGCCATGGATTCTTGGATGTTCGATTAAGAAGTCCCCAATCGTAAACCAAGTCCCAATATGTACAGAAAACCACTGCCATAGCCGAGGTAATACCACCTAACAATCTCCAAATAATTTGACGATCTTTTTCGTCATCTACTTCATAAGCCTTCCCTAAGCAAACAGCTACTACTATCAAAATGTACTTGAAACCATTATACCCTTGTTCTATGCTTTTCTCTTCAAACATCCGTCTCATACACTACACAAATATAAAAATGTAAGAGTTGTTTTTATTGAATAACAAAGTAATTATTGAATTAGTAGAGATCAATCTTTTGTACCTGAAGGAAGCGAGAAAAAAATGGGAAAGCAGCAACAATGAATAAGAAAGTATTGAAGACTTGTGAGTCTTTACAAGTGTTTTTCCTTTGTTTGAAATGACCCCAACCGTAGTAACATATGTAGAACTGGATGCTTCGAAGAGTTTGCGCTTGGCTACATAATTGATCTGCCAAGAAGAAATCGGGTAGTGTCACCTGCATGATCAAGAAAGAAATAGTAACATGTTTAATTATGTAAATGATTCAATTTATATATGATGATTCTATTGAGTTTTGATGTTTTACCTTGTAAAGAGGAGCAGCAAGGATGTGAATTAAGCTAGTGAGGAAGAAGAAGCGACTCGATCGGTAGAAGATATTGAATGGTAAGACTAGAACTATGAACATAGCCTATAATTTACATCAAAAAGTTATGAAGCCATGCATTTTTATGGAATCGCTTTAAGTAGTTTGAATCTTCAAAAGCTGATTTTTGGATTTATAGACTTACAATGAGGAGGAAAAGAGGAAGAAGTTCGGTTAATGCTTGGTAATCTTTGGTTTTGGGGTCTGTTTCCATGTCAAGATTGGCAAGAACACAGAGAAGAGCAAGAGCGCCAATGCTGAATCCCACAAAGAGAACTTGTTTGTAGCCAAGTTCAGTTCCTTGTTTGAAACCAAATATGAAGGAATAATTTACTCGATACCGCCTCCAAAAATAAATATTAGCAGCATACATAGTCATGTGTAACACAACGAATCCGAACAAGCTGCAAGAACAAATTTAGAAAAAAAGAAAAAAAAAAAACAGAATATGTCTAATTAAAGGACAATCGAAATTCTTATTTAGATTCGTATATAAGAACATAACAAATGAAGTGTTGTTTAATTTTTTCAAACGTACTTTCTGCGTTTGCGTTTATATTAACGAATATGTTACATTTTCGGGGGAAAAAAACAAAATCTGGTTTTTCATAATTTTTTTTGTGTTTAGCTTTTACTGTACTTTCAATGAATGTGTTTTGTTTAGCATGTTTAAGGCTGTGAATTCATTAAGGAAGAATAGGTACTAAGTGTAACCGCAAAATCTAAAAAAAAATTAAAAATTTGAATCATAAGGCTTACCTATAAAGAGGGAACATCGTATTCATGTATTGTTTTTGGCCATCATCTTGTAAGATGTTTCGGGTGCGTACGATAGCAACAAGAGCCACTATGAGCGAAAACATGCATCCACCCAAGAAACCTGAAACATTATTTCTCATAAGAACATGTAAGTAAAAAATTGAGAAGCAAAAACATGAAAGAGAGAAAAGTACCTAAAAAGAGTAAGAATTATACCTGTTGAAAATGTTAGTCGATGTCTCTCTCTTTTAGGTTTTGGTCGCAAGATGTTCATTCCTTTTGTTCTGTTACCATTCGTGAAATGCTTTATGAATGTAGCTTCAACATTCTCCATCAGTTTCATAACCTTGCACCAAGACCAGAAGAGCACTAAAAGATCAATATTATGACAAACAAAAGAAGCTAGAATTTAATTGTTAATGAGTTAATAATGTTCAATGCCTTGTTCAATGGATTTCTTTGAATTTAGAAAATAAAAAGTTGTCATCAAATCTCCTCAAGTGTTTTTTTTTTATATATATAAACATTTGTTATGTTTTTAATGAAAATATGTCAATATGTTCATATCTCATATAGTCAAATTCATCTATTAAATTCAAAAAAATAATATTAAATTATCTTCAACATCAAAACTAAGCTAACCTCATCAGAGCTTCCAAGGCAAGATTTATCAACCATTGTCATGTAAGGCTTAGCAGCATCCCTCGAAGTTATCTGTATATAACACATTTTCACTTATGAAAAGAGAAAAAACCATCAAATCAAAATATCTCTCTAACCAGTCTAACCTTATCATACTTGGTCAATATCTTCGTAAGCGCCAACACATTCAAGAAGCTGCAAATATTTTTGATAGTTTAAATCTCAATTCCAAAAAAATAATTACCTAATTGATCTCAAATCAAAAGAATAAAAAAGATACGCACCTATAGCTCTTGAGATACCAAAGCTTCCTATGGAACTCGACAAAGGCGCATATTAGCTTCTCCTCAATTTTCCTTAGATTATGTTTGCTGAATTTGAGCTCCGTATGGTTTGATACTTTGATAAGGCTTTTAGTGGTGGACCGAGGAGTTTCCTTCGTGTTGTTGATCTTGATGCTATCTAAAACCCCGGTCAAAACCGGGCTTGAAGCTTTCATCTTGCACAGGTCATTGGACGGTGTGAAGAATATATCATTATGATCTTCTTCATCTGTGTAATTGTCATCTTCATCGGATCGTCGACCAGCTCTACTGGAACCTCCTTCCTCTATGGCCTCCATATGAACTTTCACTACAATCAAACACCAGAAGACAAAAATGTCAATTTTCAAATTTGGCGAGTTTGGTATTGTTTATGTTCATTTGAATATAATACAAACTGAAAAAAATATGGCTTTACTTTGTGTGTTTTAATTTTCTTTTTGCCATGGGACCAAATCCATATGTTATACAATCTTGTAAAACCTAACAATTTCATGTTCAATGAATATTAACATTATTGCGAATAAACAAGAATTCTGAGGCAAATATTTGTCTCCGATTTCAAACAAAAATGAATACATGAAAATCATAGAAAATGATATATTCAGCAGATTTTCATGATATTTATTATTATTATCGTATGCTATTTCATGTCTAATTTTTTTTTGTAATAATCTACTGTAGGAGTTTTAGATGATCAAATTCTCGGTCTATAAATATATTAAATATTTGATATTTCACTTACTAGATGTGTTTTTGGCCAGCTCCGCCGGAGAAAGCGCGACGTGCGAGGCCAAACGAGTCATCTCCACCGTAGTTTCCTCCTCCATCTTTAACCTAAACGCGATTAAAGCATCCATCTGTTTGTTAAGCACCGCCGCTTCTTTCACCACTTCATCCACTTTCTCTCTATAGAATTTCTCCACTTTGTTGTATTCGCCGTCAAGTCGCCGGAAAAACACCAATTCATACTCTCCTCCTTTCTCAGCCGTCATCAAAAACGTTGTCTCGTATCGTTGACTCGCCGTTGAACTCACCTGAATAGGCGCCGTCGTTATTCCATCCTCTATCTCGACCACTGTTGAAGAAGGGCTCATCTGACGGCAACCGCCACCGCCGTGAGGATTGGTTTTGCGTTTGAAACGGTTGATATCTTTGACAAGGGTTTTGAGATACTTGTAGTCCACGTAAGCTTGTTGCCACTCTGATACCATCTGTGAAGAAAATTCTTTTCCGAATTTCATTTTTGTTTCTCTGTTTTTTTTTTTATTTATTGAAATAGAATGTGTGATATACATATTTATAGAATATGTCAAAATGTTAAATTGACCATACATGGATTGAAAATCTTTTAGCGTTGAGTCAATTAGCTAAATTAGGAAACTTATAAGTGAATATGCGAATAAAAATTTACACATGAAATGTTAGTATAGTGGGGGAAAATTACTATATATATGAAGATGATTCTAGTGAATATGCGAATAAAAATTTACACATGAAATGTTAGTATAGTGTGTGAAAATGACTATATATATGAAGATTATTCTTGTGAATATGCGAATAAAAATTTACACATGAAATGTTAGTATAGTGGGGGAAAAAGACTATATGAAGATGATTCTAGTCAATATGCGAATTAAAATTTACCAAAATCAAATGAAAACGTGTTTTGGTTCGTAGCAATGGGAGTTATGTCTAAGTACAATGTATGAACTATAAACTAGTAGTAAACATTTTGGGTAACTTTTTTGTTGTCTATAATCAATGTCATTTTGAAAGACTTTAATCAAAACTTACTACATAAAACTATATAATTATACACCATCTAATGATCTAAAGCAAAACCAGTTTTCATGTTTTTAATTGTTTTAGGTACTTTTACAAAGTATTGTTATTAGGTTTGTGTACTTTTAGAAAGTGCTATTAGGTTTGCTACTTTTAAAAGAGTTTATTATCTGAAAGACTATGTTTTTTCACTGTTTTAAGTACATTATAAAGTGTTATTAGGTACTTTTAAAAAAGTGTGATTAGGTTTAGGAAGTTTTGAAAAGTATTTTTGAAGTTGATTTGGTCATCAAATTATCGTAATAAACACTATTTAAGTAGTAATTTCACAAAATTACTACTTATAGTAATGACATCTCATTGGAAATATCACATAAGGCCTACTTAACATTCTAAAATTAGTATGGAGTGCATTATTAGCCAAAGTATTCACATTTTCATTAGTTTGTTACAAACTTCATTTTTTTATATTTAAACTTCATTTTTACGTTGACAATAGATATAAGAAAGTTTTAACTTGGTTAAAACATTTAGTCGTCCTTTTCATCGTCTTCGTCGTAGTTGAACGGTAATGGAACTGACTTGAAAGCTCGGAACTTCCCCACATTATTCAAATGCTCATTTTCTATCCTGTTTTTTTTTTAAAACAAAGAAAACTTTCAAAAAACCATGAAAGAAAAAACGGTGAAGAAGAAGCCAAAGTAACAATGTGAAGTAAGTAAACCTGAAGAAATTCCACATCCCACGGCGAATAATCTCCAGACTAGCCATAACCGCAAGTGTTGTCTGCTTGTGCAAGAACTCGAATTCGAAGTTCAGTACCGTTTGCAACCACGCGAATCTCAACACAACGTTCAAGACCTGCAGTTTTGTTTTCAAGAATTCAGTTATTTCTCTATGGATTGGAGATTACATAATCGAAGATGTTTTAAATGGGCCTTACCATTGCGGTGAAGTACACTTTTTTCTGTGGGATGAGAAGTTTATCCCGAAGCCATCGGTTTTTAGATGTTTTGTTCAGAAGGCCCCAATCATGAACAAAGTCCCAGTATGTACAGAAAACAGCAGCAAGAACTGAGGAAGAACCAGCTAACACTTTGAGGTGTGATGTAGGATTCTTCGTGTTTTTTCCTTCAAAACTATAGGCTATTCTTAAACAAACAGCTATTACTGTCAATAAGTACTTGACTCCGTTGTATCCTTGATCAAGGCTTCTTTCCTCAATCATCCGTCGCATGCACTGCACCAATTGAACAACAAAGATAATATTATCGAATTTCTCTAGACATATATGTGTCTTTTGAAGAAAATTTTTGTACCTGAAGAAGGCGGGAAAGATATGGGAGTGATGCAACAACGTATAAGGAATATTTGTAGATGTCTGAGGCTTCACAGGTGTTTTTTCTTTGTTTGAAGTCTCCCCAACCATAGTAGCATATGTAGAAGTTGATGCTTCGAAGAGCTTGTACTTGGCTAGTTAATTGATCTCCTAAGAAGAAATCGGGTAACGTTACCTGCATTGAGAAAGCATTAGTAACCATATATGATTATCAACATTGATAAGCCGTTAAATTTCTGTCTTTTACCTTGTAAAGAGGAGCAGCAAGACAGTGAAACAGACATGTGAGGAAGAAGAACCGACTTGAGCGGTAGAGAAAATGGAATGGCATGATTAAAACTACAAACAGAGCCTAAAACAAACATCGTATAGAGTTAGTTCCATCTTATAACTGAGTTTGCATAAATAATTTAAATTTATGGACTTACAACAAGAAGGAAAAGAGGAAGAAGTTCGGTTAATGGTTTGTAATTTTTGGTTTTGGGGTTTGCTTCCATATCAAGATTTCCAAGAACACAAAGCAACGCAAACGTTCCAATGGTGAATCCCAGGAATAGAACTTGTCTGTAACCAAGTTCAGTTCCTTGCTTGTACCCAAATATGAAGGCATAATTTACTCGATAACGCTTCCAATAGTATATATCAATAGCATACATAGTTATGTGAAGCACGATGAACCCGAACAAGCTGCAGGAAAAACAGAAAAGACAGAGAGAGTGCGTCTAAACAACAAGATTCACCTCAAAAAGCTCAAAATAAGAGGCAAAGTAAGTTTTACCTATAGAGAGGGAACATAGTATTCATGTAAGTAGTATGTACTTCTTCCGACATGGTTTTCCGGGTGCGTATGATGGCAACAAGAGCCACGATAAGAGAAAACACACATCCAGCAGAGAAACCTGGAACCAAATTCCTCATAAACACAAATTGACAAGAAAACACTAAACAACATTGAATATCTGATTTTACCGGTGGAGAATGTAACTCGGTGTTTCTCTCTTTTCATCTGAGGTCGTAAAATGTTCATTCCTTTTCTTCTATGACCATTTGCAAAATGCTTTATGAATGTGGATTCAACACGTTGTATGAGTTTCATTAGCTGCGATATACGAGAAGATCAAAAACAGAGGAACCAAAAAACAGAGGAATCAATGGAGTTACTAAACTAGTCAAGCTCACCTCATCAGAGCTTCCAAGGTACGAATTATCAACCATTTTCATATAAGACTTTGAAGCGTTTCTTGAAGTTATCTGCCTCAGAGTAATTTCGTCGAACACCTTTCAGTCATACTTCAAAAAAAGAAAAAAAAAACTCTCAAATCAAAATCTCGATCTCTAACCAATCTTTACCTTATCATACTTCTTCAATATCTTCGAGAACGCCAACACATTCAGAAAACTGTAGCTTTTTAGGAGACGAAGCTTCTGGTAAAACTCGATGAAGGCGAATTTGAGCTTCTCTTCGACTTCGTTCAAGTTTTGTCTATTGAATTTGATCTCATTTTGGCTTGAGGAATTAAGGACGCCTTTAATGGTGGACCGAGGCGTTGCTTTAGTGTTGTTGATCTTGATGCGATCTAAAACCTCGATTGGAGCTGGCCTCGCACCTCTCATCTTCGTTTTCACGTCACCGGTTGCTCCGCCGTCGGAGGCGTGATCTTCGTCTTCGTATTCTCTGCTGAAGCTTCCTTCTTGTATAGCCTCCATGTTAGCTTGAGCTCGAGGATTCACTGTAACCAAACGCGAGGGAGATATAGAAATTCATCAATTTCAAATTGGCGATCCGGTTATGACAAAGCTTTTATAAACCGGATTTTATCTGTGACGTCAATTTTTTTTTTTTTTGGGTTTAAATAGTGATGTCAATTTTACTCGATCTTTAAGTTTAAAGTTTAAACAGAGTACTTTTGTCTTTTGGTTAGTAGTAATTTAAATGTGATTTAAATAATGACTTTCAAGAAAAAAAAAAAAAAAAACATTAGAAATGGTCATAAATTGACGCAGACTAATTGTTGTCACAGAAATTAAAATAAAATTTGATCATATAAGAACTTTCAAATTGCAAATAAGTAGTGCTATTAGGAAGAATCTCAAGTTGAAACTGTTTTAATTACTGCATGTAAAAAAAAAAAAAAAACAGAATTAACTGCTTTAATTTTCTTACTGGTTCGAGTTCTGGCGGGTGTAGTAGCCGCGATCACCGCAGTCGAAGTCGCGATATCGGAGGCCAAACGAGTCATCTCCACCGTGCGTTCCTCCCATCCCCACCCAACAGGATTCTCCACCTTAACCCTAAACGCAATAAGAGCATCCATTTGCTTATTAAGCATAATCGCATCCTTCATTACTTCTTCCACTTTCTCTTTATAGAATTTCTCAATTCTATTAAACTCATCGTCGAGTCGCCGGAAAAAGACCAATTCATACTCTCCTCCTTCCTCTGCCGTCATTAGAAATGTCGTCTCTAGTCCATGAGTCGATTTGTTTACAAGTATTGGAGCTTTACCTATTAGGAATCCCACATCGAAAATAAAAGCAAACTTAGGATAACACCAAAAAAAACATGGACTAATCCACTCGTTACTAGTTAGTTTTAAGTTAGAAACCTATGAAACTTAAGATTACCTTCTTCAATGTCTGTTCCCGAAGAATAGTTGGATTGACCAGAGCTTTGTCTTTTCTTTCCCGGCGTTTGAACAAGACCGCTAAATGCTCGATACAGGGTCATTTTCCGGCTAATTCCTTCACCGGAGACAGCATGATGTGGAGGAGGAGGGTTGGTTTTGTGTTTGAGTTTGGTGATTTCTTTGAGAAGGGTTTTGAGATAATCGTAGCTTATGTAAGCTTGTTGCCACTCTTGTACCATTTGTGACGACAATTCTTTACCAAACTTCATCTTACTCTTTCTAGATTTCTTGTTTTGAAATCTTACTTTGCTGTGTCCGAAAGAAATACAAAAAGGAAGTTTATATATACAGAAACAGAAGCAAATGTAGTGACTTATAGTTATATGACCAATTGTATAGAAATTTAGTTTTAAAATAAATTGTTAGCTGGAAAATACGACATGGTCGATATTTTTGTGAAACGTTATCTTATTGTTTACGTTAAAGTATTAAACATTAGTATAAAATATTATTTCACAAGAAATTGAGCCATTTGTAAATTGTCGTTCGAGTGATGCAATCGTCAATATTAGAGCATACGAGTATTAACGATCTTGTGGATTAAATGATCCATGATATATTAATCGAGGTTTCAATCCATGTTGCTTGACAAACATAAATAATGCAGTTCTATCAAATAAATAATACATATATAATATATGAGAATTGTTATTAGATGATCCATAACAAAATTAAGCGAAGTTTTAATCGATTAAGGACACACTATCATTCATGTATGTCGCCATTCTGATCCATTGACGATGTCAAAGCTTTCTCTAGATTCGAACAAATTGTGATCTTATACATTAATCTCAAAATTTACATCAGCTTATGTTTTTAGTACTCTTTTTAGATAAAACTTAATTAATCATCACTCAGTATATATATATACTTATTAGTAACCATCTATACTATTAATTGGGAATCACTAGAAAATAAAGAACCTTTTGTTGTAGAATATTACATGAAATGTCATTGATATTTTTGAATTTGA